GGCTCCTTAGTGGCAAGCTGTGTCTAATTTAGCTCTAGATACTGAAAACATATTGCAGAATGTATAAGAAGAGTGGGCAGGCAGAGACTGGTAAGAAGATACTAGATGAGATCTAAAAAGGGACTTTTAAACTAAGTCAGTGGGAGTGAGGATGAAAGTCGGGGATTTCAGAAAAGTTGAGAAGAGAGACTCAACAAGACTTTCCAATGATTGGATATCAGTGATGAGGGAAAGTCTTTCATTTTATTTCCAACCAGCCATGAGTCTGTCCACTCTCCAGATAATATCTGCAACAGAGCAGGGGGTCCAGTTTTGAGCTAGCCCAGGCAATGAGAGTGAGAATTACATGTTACTACGGCTTCCCGTGCCTGGCTTCTCAGCTCTTTTCTTTGCCATTTTTCTCATTCAGCCACACAGTGGATGAGGATACAGACTTTGAAGTCAGGCAAATGCAGGTTGTGTTTCAACTCTTCCATGATGACTGGACTGCGGGCAAGTTACCTGACCCCTCCAAAACCTGCCGCCTTACCTGTAAAATGGGTGTGAAGGTTTTATCCACCTTGTTGGTTTTTGTGAAAAATGAATAGACAATGTATTTAGAGTTTTTGGCACCATATTGGGCAAAGAATAAATACTACATATTAGCTACTTTTATTTTACAAAAAAACAAACATTATGAAAGTGAACTTTTAACATTGAGGTTCACAATTATAAAAAACTTATGTGATAGAGCTACAGCTTTTGTATCATACATCATGAAATACAATCATACATCTAGTCTGGAATTTGTAAAAAAGGAGGTTTTGAACGTCACATTAAGACAAAAAATAAAATCTCATGCTATTGCAAGTGAAGATAGATATAATTTGCAACTAAACTAGAAATATAAAAGAAGTGAATCAACTGAAATCATTTGACCACACTAATTTACTTTCAAATTAATCAAAAAATTAATAACAAGAATCTGTACTTTTGTTGAGGGTAAATGGTGAATGACCAATCCAAATTCTATCATATCGGTGCTCACACAAATTCCTTTACCTGTCAGGAATTGATCACAAAGATCTTTAGATTTCAAGATTTATACTCAACATAGAAAAAGCAAAAACACAAAATGCTTAGTTAATCTCATCGTGCTAGAAAATAGTAATTGTATAACTAGTGTTTTATATTACTGCAACTAATTTAGAAATGATTAGTTTACAGTATTTAGTGTTCATGTTTATTTAAGCAAACTATAAAATCCATATGGCCTTTCAGCTTCTGGTAGAAAAGCTTTTCTTATTTACAAAAGTGACTAACTTGACACTGAAAGTGGTGGGTTCTTAATTTTCTTTTCAATCACTTATTGTCAGGAAAGTGCCAAAAGAGAGACACGTGACTTCTAACAAGAAAAGCAACTAAAACTCAAAAGCAAGTTCTCCCTAACTCTGCTTACCCTTGACCATAATCACTGCTACTTCAAGGGTTCAGATATCCATGAAATTTTAATTTAGCAGGGTTTAAAGAGACAGAGACAAGTTTCCCAAATAAAATTAAGGAGGCATGCAACTGAAAATTGCCTTCATTAAAAGAATAGTGTGGACATTACAAACATTCCTTCAAAATCAGAAGGAAGTGATTCTGATCTTAGGTAAAAGAGAACAAATTCCAATTGAGATTTTCATCCTTTTTGAGTTTCATTCAGATAATTTCCTTCTACACCTCCTTTTCCTCTTTTTTGAAGCAATAATTGCCTTCTCACTACTTTGAAAGTATCATTTAAGAACTAAGTTCCAGGAATTTCTCTTGGCTTCCTTTTCCCATTTAAAAAAATGTTGAAATTTTACCAGAAACTCCTCTGAGTTTGCTTCTAACTTTAAAATGCTGTGATTCCAGTAGGTCATAAGTTATTTCCATAGAATCTATAAAGACCTAGAAGGCCCCTGGCCAAATTCATCTACCTTATCACATGGCACAGACACTTAACCATTAACACAAGCAAAATACTAGTATGAGCATCTTCACAACCCTAAAGAAATGGCACACCTGACTAGCAAGCTCTGATGGCAAGTCAGGAAATGGAAGGCCAGGACTTCAGAGACTTGTCTGAGGAAGATATCATGTAGAAAGGAAGACAGGGGTCAAAACCAAGAGTGCTTTCCCCACATAGATGCAACTTTGTTGGACGTTAAGAATGGAGATCGTCAGTGCAAAAAGAAAGGATACACCAAATGGGAAACTGTGGAAAGTTAAAGATTACCTCAAGATATCAATCCCCTGAAAAGCAAACCATGAAATCATAAACAAGAACTCTTACCATATGAACAAACATATTGTGAAGCTTAAATTGCTATTAAAAATATTCTATCATTAAGACTTTATGCAGGCAAAATTATGGTGCAGGAAAAAAACTCGCATGGCTTTCTCATCCAGCCTCCGAGTCACACTTCTCCTCCTTCCCTTGGTTCTCCACCTCTACTTTCCAAGTCTTCAGGAAGCTCATTGGATAATCCCTCTCAATCCTGGGCTTCCCCAGAAACACTGTGCTTTCCTTCAGAACACCTCCTAGAAGCATGGTGTGAAAAGATAAACACAAGCCCTGAAGTCAAGCACAGAAGTGCCAATCCTGGCACTCTGGACACATAGGGAAATTACACACTTCAAGGCTTGGAATCTAAAATTAGAGTGAAATTTAGAGGTGATAATGTTCTTAAAACACTCACTATATTTTCTTCCTTGTTTCCAGGATGGGAATTCCTTCAATGTGACAGCAACAGGATTGAAAGACTCCCTAAACTAATTCCCAGGGGATACTGTGGTAGTTTAATGTGTTACTGCTTCTCTAATCACAAAATAAAATGAAATGCTTAGAGACATCATACCATAAACCTAAGAGAAAGAAAAGAGAATTTTGGGGCCAGGGACTTAGCTCAGGGGCACTGCGCCTGCCTCACAAGCACAAGGTCCTGAGTTGGATCCCCAGTACCAAAAATGAAAGAAAAGAGAATTTTGAGTGAGGCAGCTGATGAGTAGAAAGATTCAATGTTTAGGCATCTGTTTCACAGGTCGATGTTTTCTAGAAACTTTTCTATGATAACGTTTTTGCTAGTACTTAAGAAACCAATTTTGTATTGTCTATTAAAAACTTTTTTTTTTTTTTTGGTACTGGGGATTGAACTTGGGACCTTGCGCTGCAAGGCAGGTGGCGGAACCACTGAGCTAAATCCCCAGCCCTTAAAAACTTTTTTTAAAGTTTTCACCTAAGATATAAATGTTTCTGCTCTGACCGATCAACACTTAAAGGAAGCCAAAGAAAATTGTTTTAGAGGCAATTCTAAGGCACTAAAATTTACTTGATAACCTAGAGAGGTATTTCTATTCTTATGTAGAAGAGAGAGATTATGTGAAAAAAGCCAGTTACTGGTCTTTGTGGGAAATGATAAGTGAAATAGAAGCCCACAAAACAGCTTGATTGTAGGGTACCAAGAACAAGGTTTGATGGCACTAGCGATTTTGTAATACTCTCCTTGCTGTGAGTGTATGATGATTCATAAAAGAAAAGTGATGGCTTGTGGAATGGGGAAGATAGAAAAGGTGAATCACGACCCAAAGCAACTTCATATTTCTACCATATCTTTATTTGTATGGATGGTTTCATTCTTCTAAAACTTTAAGTTAGTCATAATTAAACTGTGACTATAGAGTTATTCTGCAAGTCTCCAGTGAAATGGGAGTTGGTGTAATTATCCATGAAATTCAAGCATATTTTTAAAACCCACAAGTTTTGCCTAAATTACCAGATAAGTGCTCTGACTGCTCAGCTTGTTCTAAGGGAGAAGAGCATTAACTCCCACAATAGAGTAGAAGCTGATGTTGTCCCTAGGGCTTCTTTAAGTGTTTCTGAACATCTGATTGATTACTCACTGTCTATGACTCACAAATTATATAAATCTTCTGAGAATTAAGAGTTAATGCTTCCTTTTCGGTGCCATTATATTAGAAAGTAATAGCACTACCTCTGAAAGAAATTAGAGCCCTATAGCTAATATTTACTATGGACAGTCTTACTCAGAGTAATCCTCAGTAAATGTCTGTTTGTGTGCACAATCTACTAATAAGAGACCACAGAAGCCCTGAAAGGGAATTAGAACCTCAAATGCAATGGATATGACTTTTCCAGGGTAAAAGCCTCAGCCAGTGATTCATCTACATCTAAAACTAGAACCTCGATTTCCTGATTTTCAGACAGGTTTCTCTTTATTTCATACTTCTATCCTAGGAAGCAGCGCACAGTGTAAATTGCTGTTTCTCCATTGCTTCCTATATCAATTCACATACTTTCATTTTTGCCCATACTCCAATCATCAAAACAAGCTATATGACCAAGCCTCAAAGCCAATATGGAAGAACATGCCACATATCAAGATACATCATTAGAGGGCCAGGGAGTTATCTCAGTGGTTCTGCTGCCTGCTACGCAAGTGCAAGGTCCCGAGTTCAATCCCCGGTATCAAAAAAAAGATACATCACTAGATTAAACCATTCACAAACCCATCACCAGAATAATAAGCCAATCCTTAGAATGATAAACTAATCACCACCTCACACAAAAAAAAATCAAATATAATCAGTGCTTTCTAAATGTTGATTCTAACACACACACACACACACACACACACACACACTCGTCTTCAAGCCTGGATTTTCAAAATTGCAGATTATAGGTGTTAGCCAATCAATTGCTGATTCATTAAGTAGCTGGCTTGCCATTGTCATCATACAAAGAGTGGAAACGATAACAGATTTTAGTCTGAAAATACAAATAATTTTCTTTTGGACACTTGAGTCATACATTTTAATTGCCAAGATTTTAAGTTGCTTTTTTGTTTGTTTATTTCACTTAAGCCATTTCTAAATTTAGGTACAGGGTGCTAGCCAGTGTAGACTCTCAATATGTAAATATTACCTTAAAAAAGTAAAAGTAGGGGCCAGGGATTTAGCTCACTGGTTCCAGCACCTGCCTTGAAAGCACAAGGTCCTGAGTTCGATCCCTGGTACCAAAAAAAAAAGTAAAAATACTTATATCCTAAGCAATGGCTCAATTATATTAAGATGTACTTTAACAAAATTAAAGTCTTAAAGTAATAATTGTCATAATTTAGATAGGTGCAGTAAAATTATATAATACCAACATACCCGCATAGGTAATGTAGATTGAAAAAAATTTAGGGATAGTTTTGCAGTTGTCACAATTATAAAAATCTCAAAAAAAAACAATTGGAAAGAGAAATTACACTCCCCAAGAATATATTCATTATCACACAATATTAATTTTATCCCCCAGATTCTTGTGTCAGAACTCTGAAAACTATCAGGAAAATATGAAGAAACTATGATTAGGAAATAGCCATTTCTACTTTCATCCAGAATTGCCATTTGCATGAAGGTGACTTGTTTATATTACATTCATCTTTGTTCATATCCTTGACTGTAAATCAAAATGAAATATTAAGTTGTATATTCATAGAATGCCTAATTAAGAAGGCTATTCTCTTGGGTTGAATTCAGTGATAAATGTAGAATTACTGCCCCTTTCTCTGTGAGAGTCTATATTGTACATCATTTATAAAATGCCTCAGTATCGAAATGACCCTGAAACAATAAGGGATGGACACATAGTGCCTCAAAAAGTCTGTTTGGAATACATTTATTTATGTGTCAATCATCAAAAAGTGTTAGTTATTCTCTAGATTAGTGTTATGCCAACATTACTGTCACATGTAGATAAAACTTACACAGTGATTTTCCACTTTCATCGATCTTCTGGATTAAATTGAGTTTTACTCTACAAGAGAAGGAAAAGAATCAGGTGCACACTGAACCTTGTTCTTCAAAACCACACACTCAGATCCCAGGCCTTTATGTATTCACTCTGCTTTGATATCAGGAGCACACTGATTTAAAATTTGAGAAACACTGCATGGGATAATCCTTCAGTACAATGCATTCCAGAATTTATTTAGGAAAGCAGAATATTTAGGGGAATTTGCAAGCATAGACTTAAATGCGAGAAAACCAGCAGCCAAAATACTTGTATATTTTAGGCAAACCAACATAAATCTGTTGCCCAACCCTCCAAAATCTCTCTTACCTTTAAATTCCTTCTGTAGAAGAAAACAATGTCTTTTAATGCATAGTGATAATGCTCAAAGAGCACATACACTTGAGAATGATAGTACATTATAGCCTCAACAAAGCTATAAGTAATTGAAACCAAATCTTTTCCTGAACATAGATTCTAATTGCACAAAAGAGCAAGAAATTTTGGGCACAAAAAGTGAGGAAAAACAGGAAGGTAATCCTTGCAATGAGAAAAAAGCAAGTCCCTAGCATCAAAATAACTTTCATCCCTTCAAAATTTTCTTTAGGGTTGTAATGAGAGGCTGATTTCCATTTTCTAATCTAATCTCTGGATACTTTTCCTCCTAACCTTTCAACTTGCCGTCTTGCAAGGAGACTAAATTATTTGTTGGCCACATATCCAAACCAAACTTAATGCTATTTTGGTCAAAGGGAAATTTAAGTTGTGAGTTTTGCTAAAGTTCATTACTGAAAAGAGAGCCTTCTCATTGTATATTTTAGTTTAAAATGTGTAAATAGAATATTAGAAGATAGAATTCAATATTAGAATATGTAAATGTTAAGAAACAATGCCATTTTAGTGACAATGCTCTGAAAAAGAGGAGATATTGGAAGGACATGACCAGAACTTGTGTAGAAAGATGAATGTAAGTCCACCAATGACAGTGAGGCATGTCTAGCTTCAATAAAATTTCCTAAAACTTGGAGCTCTCCAAAATGAAGAGGGCTGTCCAAGGTGATGAACTCCCTGGTGCTCAAATGTTCAGCTAAGGTAATGTCCAAACATACCTGATTAGGAAATGAACTAAAATTAAATTTAATGCTAAGAGCCTCTAATTTTTTTCATAGACTTCTCTTCTGGAACCATAAAGAGAGTTTGAGAAACATTAATATAACCCAGAAATTAAAGGATACTTGAGAATTACTACAGAAAAGAAAATTTAATGTTAACAATAAACCTGGGGACCAGAAGAGACATAAGCAAAGACAAGACATAATGGGTAGTGACAGGAAAGAACAGGTAAGACCATATGGGAATAAGATAATCAGATAGAATTAAGAAAAACCTCAGATGGAGAAATGAATGCCTCTTGACCAGGGCTGAGGGCACCAGAAACAAAGCCACTGGGTTATGCAAATTAGGAAAGTGAAAAATCAGCATAAAATATAGTTTCCAAAATGGAGAGATAGTTTAATACTTTTTAATGAGAAGGGAAAAAATGTTTTGGTAAAATATGTTTGGAACCATTTAGTAAACACCATTAGGCAGATTCCTTAAGCACCACTGAGTAACCTGAGCCGTCCATCACAATTGCAAGTCTCCAAGAAAAGAGATAGTATGTAGTATCCTCATTATATCGGGGGTTTTTTACAGAAATCTTTGGGAGCTGGTACTCTGAAGAGTACACAATGAAAAAGAAATACTAGATATAGGTGTCTGGACTTAGTACAGATGGTTAATGAATGTTTGGGTTTTATAATAAAACCTTGTACTTAGAGCCTAGTCATAAGTAAACTACCTAATTTAAGCTGAAGGTCTCAAGTGAATTTAGGAAGGAGAGTAAAGTTAATCTCAGAAGCTTTCCTCACATGGTAAGCTCTGTCTTAGTATGTGACCAAACTGGCCAAGTGTTCCGCCCTGTGGTGAAAGCTCTACACTGTACCAGATTCTGTCTTCTGAATTACTGGCCATGAAAATAGAATATGTGTAGCTCATTGCTGAAGCAAAATAAGGAACAAGAGTTGACATACATGGAGGGCACAGTTTTACTGAGGAAAATAATCACCACAGCTGCCATAAACCAGATGCCGTTCAATTTTACAATTTAATCCTCACCACAATTCCCGCTTGAAAAGTCAGGAACCTAGAGATCAGGTAGGATAAACAATGCTCCCAAGATCTCTTTGCTAGTGACTGTACAGGCTGGATTCAAACAGGCCTGGAAAGCTACAGAGCCTGCAAGCTAAGCAACTGGTGGGTAGTGCTGCTGTTCAGTGGTGCAGGAAGCAGTGGAGAACCAGCAATTTGGAGTGGGAGGCAGAGAATCCATCAGGTTTACTTAGGGACGTGTGGCATCATATATACCACAGATGTGCACCCTGCTGAAAACTCCCATTTCTTCCCATTCTTCAGTGGAGCTGACAGATAACTGCAGCCCTCATCAAATCTTACCTACAGTCTCAAGGGAGACCCACATGAGAAACAGCTGACTAAATCATTCCAAAATTTCTGGCCCATAGGAAATATCTATGTAGTTTTAAGCACTATGGTTTGGGATAATTTTTAAAACAGCAATAGACAAGGAATAACAAAATATTCTTAATAGTATTCTTAATAAAAAGTTGTCCAGTAAAACAATATTGCAAATTCATGACATGAATTTTATAAAATATTATGCCATAGTTCATCTCTTCAGGAATTTTTCTTATAGCAAATTATCTATTTCATATGTTCTTGTATTCTTGGAAAGAATAATTCCTTATTTAAACACAATAAGGCCAAATTTAGCCAAAAAACAGACAGCCAATATTTATCAAATGGATAAGTAAAAGAAGCATAATATCTTAAACAACAACCTTTTACTGTAAAGGATTTAAGGCTACAAAAACTGTTACAGAAATAGGAAAGTATCTTATGTGATTCCATGATCAAAATTTTACATTTCTATGAATAGTCTGGGTTATTTCTCAAGAGGAGAAGGAGAAAAAAGGAAAAGAAGCAACACAAGCCTGGATGAGGGTGTACCAAGTAGTAGGCTCTGAACGTGTTACCTCTACCAACAACTCTGTGAAGTAAATAACATTGGCTCCATTTTCACCTGCCCAACAAAGCTTCCTCAGCTCAGCTTTTAGTTTCTGTGTGTGTGTGTGTGTGTGTGTGTGTGTGTGTGTGTGTGTTTAAATTTACATTACAGCCTGGGAAAAACTGGAATGGAGGACGAAGAGAGGGTAGTGAGAAATGAGTGCAGCTGGATAGAAGGAAAAGCTCCTAACGTTCTGACATAGTAAGATGACGATGGTTGCCAATGACTAATTGCAGATTTCAAAACAGTAGAAAGGATTTTGAGTGCTCCCAACACAAAGATATGATAAAAGTCTGAGGTGATGGATATGAAAATTATCCTGACCTGATCATTACACTCTGTAGACGGGTATTGAAATGGAATACGTTACCTATAAATATGATTACTATGTGTCAGTTAAAGATTAAATATGTATTTTTAAAAGAACCTTAAAATCTAGCTTACCTAAAACAAGGATAATCATTAATAAATTATACTAAACATCATGGTTAATTCATATTTTAATTTGAGAACAAATGAATATTTTAAGTTCAAAATGAGAGAATATTGCTTGTACACAACAGTTTATACAAATGAAAGAATGTCCTACTCATTAATGCTAAGCTAATCTTACAAAGTTTTGTAAGGAAGTGACAAATTCAAAAATTAAGTGCTGACGGTATGTCATTTAAGCTATATAAACTGCCTCTTCTAAGCCTTAGTTTCTAAATATGTAGAGATCAAGTAAAAGAAAAACTAAATTAGGCTACACCGTTGTCATTTGGAGAACAGAAAGATCAACATAAGGTTCAGGCCAAGTGAATTTTATTCTCAACTCTTCTTACCAAGGAAATACTCTCTACAGAAGGAAAACACTGACAATTAAGTGAGTGTCCGCTAGGGGGAGCAATAAAGATTTTAAACTGTCACATCGAGCGGCTGAAGTTTCATACTTAGATTATATACAGTATAAATAATACTGTTAGAGCTAAAAGGGCTCAAGAGAACACTTACCCAAGCTCTCTTACTTTAGAGATGAGAAAACAAGATTCATTTGGACGAAATGATCTGTCAGGACCACATGGTGAGTTAATAAGGAAAGCAAAACTAGAAAAGGCCAGGCTGTCTCAACCGGAGCTACAACTACGCCTGGCACTTAGCAGATTCCTGGTGAATTTGATTCGACTGTGATCCACCATTCTAGAACAACTACAGTATCAACAGTATCTAGTAAAGGCTTAGACCCTCCCTTAAAAACCTGGTGCTTCACTTTGCTCATTGCAACCCACTAGTACTGGGGGTGAGTGGTAGAGTAGCACCTGGTTTCCACTACACCAAAAAGAAGGAAACTGAAAATACCGTCATTTCCTTGGATCATGATCCAGTTATCTACTGTTGTATATAAAATCACTTCAAAACTCAGTAGCTTAAAAAGAACTGCAATTACTTTGCGCGCAGATCTGCGATGCAGGCAGCCGTCAGCAGGGACAGCTAATCTGTGCCCCACACAGTGTTGTAGAGGGCAGCTCAGCTGAGGGCTGGAGGACCCACGTTCAGGTTGACTCACGGCTGGCAGCTGGCCGGCATCTGAGGTGTAGGTAGAAGGAAGTGCTCGGCTGCCTCTGGCCTGGTGGCTGGATTCCCAGAGTAGGATCCTGAGAAAAAGGAAGTTCAGGCTGCCAGCTTCTTATACCCTGGGCTGGAGATCAACATAGTGTGACTTTCACTGTGTTCTATTGGTCAAACTGTCATTAAACCCTGATTCCAGGAGATGGGACAAAGATCCTATCTCTTAGTAAGAAAGTGTCAGAGAATTGATTGGCCATTTTAAAACCATTAGAGAGTTTTTTTCTTACTGCAAATATAATTTCATTTTGCTGAGATGGTAAAGAATTGAGCATTATTAGAGATAAGTCACACATATCAAAATTATAATCTCTTCAGAGGTATTAATCCCTTCGCTGTATACTATCAGCTCAGACAGACAATAGACCTATAATTAATGCTCAATCTTTGCCTCCATTTACTCTTCCACAAAGGGGATAATAATAAGCTCTGTTGTAGGAAATGAGAAGGCTTATTTATAACTGTAAAAGCAAAATGTACTTATAATTGCCTTAATAGATGCTTATTAATAGTGAATTACCTGTAAAATGTGCTACACAAGTGAAAGGTGTAATCATTATGTGCTTAAATAACTTTGCAACATACAGCCTTTGCAGGTTGCTTAGACAACTATCCATGCTTGAATTTTAGAAGCCATTAATTAATTTTGCTGAATATGTGATGAAATATCAACTCTAAAAAGATAATTATTGTATAAAACTCCTAAGCATTTGATAAGATTGACAAGAAAAATATTTGTGGGTTTTTAGCTTTTACAAAAAAAAAAAAAAACCTGATAAATGCCATAGAGTTTAGAACACCTTTGTAAATAAATAATGTTTTACAACATATTTTTTAAGACTGTCAGCAACATATTCAATCAGATTTCCCAGCATTGGTCCTATCCAGGAATTGAGGGTAGACCTTTTCTAAGGTCTACATTAGAAACAGCACAACTGAAAAAAAAAAGGAAAAGAAATAGCACAATTGAATTGCCTTTCTTGTTATAACAAACAAAATTTTCAAATTTAACTGGGGTGATGTGAATGAAGATTTTAAAACTAGCTGTTTGTGAGGAGGGGCCAGTCAGTACCTTATTTAGTTCACAAGCACAGTATCCAGTTGGGATTTTCCCACAGGAGTCCTAGGAGTTAGGTAAAATGACTTTCTGTTAGGCAATTTAGATCACAGAAAGCAATAACTTCCTCAACTCAGCCACTTAAGGAAAGATTGGTTAAATAAGATGAGATCTGTCCTAGCTGAAAATGGGACCTACAGCTGGGAGGTTGGTTCCTCAAGAACCAGAGGAGCGAGAGCTCTGTTAACCAGTTAGCATTCTTACTGCAAGAAAACAAAATGAGTAAAAACATGAGTCACATCAGGCCTTATTTGTGTCTCTGTACTGTATGTTCAAATAGTGGTTTATAAAGCAATGTTAGTTTCAATGTCACCCACTTTCCTCATTTATATTTTTGCACAAATTGTCCGCAGGATCTTAAGTTTCTCATCTAGGGAATTATCTGGAATACTATGACCTTATTTTCAAGCATTTCTAAAATGGTATATTTGGTGTGAATTTTTTTAATCCAGATAAAAAATGATGCCCTATCCCCTAAATCAAACTGTGCAAGACAGAACCCCAACAATCCAAACCCAGTCACCAGAAATGTGGCCTCTACTACACCTTAGGAAAAAAGCCCCTAGACTGAACCATTCTATGGCTCATTAGCATCTTCTCTGGCAAGTTTCCTGCCTTTCTTTACTCACTATGGTTTAGAAGATTCTCTTACTCCATATTTCATTACTATCATGAAATACCTGAAGCTAAGTAAGTTTATAAAGAAAACAAGTTTGTTTCACTCAGAATTCTGGAAGTTCAGGGCCCCAGCATCAGCTCAGTTCTGGTGAAGGCTTCATGACTAGTGGCTTCACAGTGGTGGAGACACATGTAGGAGAAACAGATCACATCACAAGAAGGCAGGGAGATGTTCAAGGACAGCGTTCTGCTCTTATAATGATTAAGGGTCTTATAACTAACTCATTTCCCAAAAAAACTAACTTCCTCTCTGCTGAGGACACTACCCCCAGTGACATAAGGACCACCTACCAGTCACGACCTTTGAAAGGTCTCTCTATCTTCCAACATTGCCACTGGGAATCAACCCTTCCACACAGGACCCTCTGGGGGACAATCCACATCCATGCATACCAGAGATACTGGTGAGGTGCTGAGTGATCCTTCAGAATGGGAAGCAAGAAGCTAAAACCCAAGTTGAATATACAGTAGATTTCAAATTGTAAATACAATAACAAAAAAGTTCATGTAATTTTTAACAAAGAAAAAGAAGGAGGAGAAAGAGAATAGTGGGAGGTGGCATTCATAACACCAAGACCACATAACTACTACAGTCTGACTATGAGGTGCCGCCCAATGATCTCATGTACCCAGAAAGTTTCAATGAAATCCACCTAGCTTTTAACAGCCCTACAATTTGACTGTGACATCTACTCAATATGACTGGCCAAAATGGAAAGCCACACTCATGCTTTGAGTCACTGATGTTATATAAAACATTTCCCTTCATTTGCTAATGTCGAAATATCCTGTCACTTGTTAAATTATAAATTAGGAACCAATTTTTCAGCATGCCCTCACCAAGATGCAGAGAATGAGAGCAATTGTGAAGGAATGGGGAAACATGGGTTGACTGTAGATTTCTCTGAAATTCATCCACAGAACAATGAAGGGTTTTCTTTTTAATAGATTCCCTAGAAAACCACATGCTGTGCTCATTGAAGCAAGAAGTAAAAAGAAATGATTGAGCAATATTAAAAGGTGGAGAGCCAGAGTCCTTTCTCAAGAGTGTTTTAATGTTGAAATGAAAGGCCCTGGGTAACCTCTCGCTCCTACCATCGTGACATCAGGGCCCCCCATTCTCATACTGCCAGGACAGAGCCACTGGGGAGCCCTTTCTCTCACACAATAAGAAATATTGCAAAGGCAAAACTTTGCAATTCACACTTTCTAAAAATGCAGGCTGCATGGCTACTAGAAAGGTTAGTGAGGCAGATATTGTTTCTGATTTTGTTTCTGATTTTGTTTCAGATACGTAACACTGCCTCCATCTATTTCAGGTTGGATGGGAGAGGGTTGTTCTCTTCAGGGAAATATTACTTTGTCACTGTCTATATATTTAACTATTTTAAGTCTAGCCTCAATTTTGAAATAAGGAATAGCGCTGCAAAATATACTGGATTCCCTGGAATTCCCAGATTCACAGTAAGATTTACACACACAACAACCCTCACTGGATGGATTATTTAATTTTTCTTTTTATTAGCACATGTTTACACCACATAATGACTACATTCATCATGGGGAGAGGGGGCTCATAAATAACCACTTGACAATCACACAATGTCTGCATGAAGCCTAAGTGGCATTGACAAGAAGTAGAATATTCTCTTAGGCTTTGGGTTTAAAACTCTTTTAGTGAAAATACCAGTTCTCTCACCCTCCTCAGCCTCCCTCCCCCATACCACCTCCACTCACAGGTCAAGAGAGAGGACCTATGATCAACTTCATCCCCTAAATATCACGCATTTTATCTCTACAGGGCTTATCCAGTTTGTTAGTAGCAGATATATTTAAATGCATTCCAATAAGTCTCACATTAATGTAATGTTTTTCTTGTCTACACTTTCTTTCCACACAAAAGAAATTATTTCCCTAAACTGCAGGTGAAAACCTTTACTTCTTAGGTGTGAAGCAGATGCCCGTGCAGTGTGTAACTCATGCCCTCTCTTTCAGATATCTTCATAGAAAGACTTTTCTAATCACAACAAGGTTATTTTAAGCTGTCTTATTCTTCGGACGAAGGGAATGATTCTTTAGCAGTGTAATGCACATTACATCTGCAAACAGTGGGAAGATATAATTTTAAATGAAAAGTATCTTTTCTCAGTGCTCAAATGGCATCAGTGAAATTTTCAAAGTTCAAGAACTGGAGTTGCCAATGAATAAAAGGAGTCTTACAAGAAAAGTAAGACAAGATGGACAGCTTTATTCTTGTTGACCTTAAATGCAGTTCCATGCAGCTCTTAAAAGTGTCTGCCTGGGTCAGATGGTCAGGGTGTTCTAAACTCCTCACAGGTATTTCTTCTCTTTTCTTCTTTTCATCAGTATCAGAATACTTCTCCTTTCATATACTATTATAGGATCTTCTGCTGTTGAACTATTTCTTACAGTATGTTCTTTCTTTGTTCAACTGGATTCCTTTTAATATCTGAAAAAGTGATAGCCTCATTTTATTTATATAAAGTAGACAGATGCTGAAACCAAATTTCTTATAGTGGAGCCTCAATTTTAGGATTTGTTAGTTGGATGATGTTGGGCAAGTCACTGAAACTCTCTGCCTCAGTTTCCTCAAAATAGGAATAAAAAACTTTAGAGGGTTGCTAAAGATTCAATTTCAATAGGTAGACAGTACACTTAATGAGACATGTTGCACTTAGTAAATGTTCAATAACTACTGACAAGTAATTAAAAATCCTTCTTGGAAAATGGATATGATTTTCTGCCAACACTATTTTTTTTTTTTGTACCTGGGATCAAACTCAGGACCTTGCACTTGTGAGGCAGGGAGCAGCACCACTGAGCTAAATCCCTGGCCCACTGACACTATTTTTTAATTATATTGCTAGCATATCCTTTCTAAACTTGTATCTTTTACATTTCTGTCATTTTCTTTAGTCTTGTTCTTCATTTAGTTCATTTCAATCACTTTAGTAATTTGATTCCTTTCAATAATATCACTTACAGGTGGTTCCAGCTCAGAATGGTAGCTGTCATATTTGCAACAACAAAAAAACTATACAGATAGCACATTGGTGGCTTTTTATGAGCTTCTCAGAAAACTAAAGTCACAGGACACTGTGGTTTAAAGCTGTCCTCCAAAATTCAAATGTTGGAAAAAGTAATCCCAGTACAGTGTTAATCAACAGTGTTGACTGCACTACAACAGTGTGAAGAGGTAG